CAATGAACGTCTAAACGGACCGTCTGATCGTGATCCTTCTGCTGTTCATCGTGAATTATGCTATTTCAAGGGACCTCACATTTATGTATGGGATATGGACGAGAAGAACAAGCCCATCATGGTTCGAGAGTACCCTAAAGTTGCTAACAAGGCAGATGGTGAATGGCCTCAGTTCCGAAGTGTTGGAAACGGCCGATGCCCGTTTGTGGAGGACCACGATGTGCCTGAAAAGGATCATCGAAGACAACGAGAGCAGGAAAAGGCACGCCTTGCCAAGCGTGAAGAAGCTGCCCCTGTTCTCAAGCCTCCTCAGGTCCCAATGCCTAAGCCAGTGACAGGGAAGCGAACCATTGCTGAGATGGAGGATGGTCAGAGCAGAGCTCGTGCTGCGACACCGACTGATATCTTCAACCCCGCCAGGGCGACCATGTCGAAAGTAGTGGATGCCCGACCCCAGAACGCCTTCACTAGCCGTGCTGCGGCAGGCCGGCTTTTTGCTGGCGAGCCTGTGGCATCTGGAGTGCAGCCTTCTAACATCACGTCAGCCATTCGATCGCAGATGGTCTCTTCGACATCTGGTATCAATGGAGCGAAGGCGGGAACCAGTAAAGAGGTTCATGGCCTGCAGCGCAAGGTGTTACAGAAGGCTGCCCCTGCTTCCTTTGATGTGAGCTCGCGCCGTCTTGCCGAGGTTTCAATGGACGTTGCATCTAGCAGATCAACAACGATGGGCCGACACACTTCGCGACCTGCTGAGGTACAAGAAGAGGATGCTCAAAAGACTGAGCGGAGGACACAGTCTCAACCTCTTAAGAGCAAGCGGGACCTCAAGCCTGGCTATTGCGAGAACTGCCAGGATAAGTTCCGCGATTTTGACGAGGTATGTGATGTTTTTTCCCCCAGAGTATGCTTGTAAAAACTAACCTTTCTAGCACATTCTATCTCGCAAACACCGGAAGTTTGCTGAAAACGACGAAAACTGGACTGAGCTTGATTCTCTCCTGTCACAAATTAAGAGGATGCCTAAGTACGCATCCGGTTCTGACGAGGAGGAAGTCTGGTAACGACCATTCATAAAATAATACGACATAAATCTTTTCAACATCGCATCATCATCATCTCAGGCCTTGCCATGGTCTGCAGCTCATGGACCATGTTACTGGCATCCCACGAAACAAACTCTTTATGAAGTCCATTTTGCGCATTTCGGTTCAGATTCCCACAGCACGCAGTGTACAAACATCAAAGATACCTCACGAGTTTGGTTAGCCTTGCGGTTAATGGCGGGCGGCACTACCGGGCAGTTTTTCGGTTCAAGATGTCCGCGTCTTCTTTACTATCGCTTTCTCCTTTTACCTTATAAGCATGAACTGCATGCATGCGACGGCGCAGAGCGGCATGGTTTTGGCACATTATCTCACGGTCTAGTCGGCCATTTCATTTGTTCTGATTGGACTGCATACATGGTAACTGATTTTTGGGGCGTTTCGTCGCGGTCCATTTCGAGAGGCATGGTCAGGGCAAATGGCTGAGATGGGTTTGATAAGGGCTGTAGAAAGGTGAACCAGGGCAAGGCATTGGAGCGGAAGAATTATATCGCAAAAAGCAACAGCGACTGCTTTACGACGATGACCAGAAAGGTCTGATGTAGATATGTGTTTAGGACATGTATATGTACCTACATGTTATGTAACATGAATACTTGAACAAGTACGGTCTTTGTGGCATGATGCACAGTGAAGGTGAGCTGCTTAAGCATAAATGTGAGTGAATCATTGGTTATTTCTGCCATGGACAAGTGTCTTGCATGAGTTCCATCTCAAGTGAACCCCTTAACTACAGTCAGTACCTTACCTATGTGGCGTTTTCAGCCTGCAGTAGTTGATTGGCAGATGCACACTATGAAACTTTGCAATATTTCTTTTGTCTCTCACCGATTTTTGGCTGAGACCACAAAGTTCCCCCTTCTTTTTCAATTGTCATTGTTGGGCGCAAACTTTTCTAGTGTAAGCCCGCGAGGACCCCTATCACATGTTCGAATTGGACCTGCCAAGCTTGGACAAGTCTGAACTGTGTGATACCTGGGCTCAGTTACCTAAATTCATTCTTTGACTCCTAGGCCACAACCGGTGCATTTCAAGTGAGCGAAGAAATCAGAAAGAGGAATAGGAGGTGAGAAGTACAAGGCCATTGGACTTAACTTAGTAGTCTTCTGACTTAAACAGGTGCTGGATGTCACCGCTTACTTGAGTGAATCACTCTCACTGACAACATCAGAGCCTGGAAAAAGCTTGACTGGGAGGTGAATTATCTCACTAGAAAAGCCTTGTGCAATCATTGGATCTTCACTCTTTCTCTCTGCCACCACTCCTCAAGCTTTGTTTGCACCACCTTCGACATATCTCACGATGAACCTCAAAACCTCGGCTCATGCGGAGTCAACACTGGATATTTGGAAAAGACTACGAGACTTGAAGAACGGCAAAGACAAGATCATTCTAGATGGTAACAACCTCGACATTGCTTCTCTCGTCGCAGTGGCTCGTCATGGTATCAAGCCTGAGATCAGCAAAGACGAGGAGCTCGCTCGCCGCATCGCTCTAAGTGTTGACGCACTGGCTGAGTACTTGTCACACAAATACGTAGTATATGGTGTCAATACAGGTTTTGGAGGAAGTGCAGATGTTCGAACTGACGAATGGTTGGAGAACCAAATCGGCTCTCTCCAACATACACAGAGTGCCATTATCACTTCTACCGACAAAAATCCTGGGAGCAACTCTGAGAGAGAATCGTCTCACGTCATGCCCCCTGAATGGGTTCGAGGAGCGATACTTACTCGGGCGAACCAGAACATGCGTGGACAAAGCGCTGTTCGACTGGAAGTGCTGAAGAGATTGATCAAACTGCTTCACCACGATATTACTCCTATGGTTCCTATTCGAGGTACTATTTCGGCGTCTGGAGATCTCATGCCTTTATCTTACATCGCTGGGGCGGTCACTGGAAACCCGGATGTGTTCGTTCAGGTTGGTAGAGGGTCGTCAGCCAAGGTGATGCCTTCAGATGAAGCTCTACGGGCTAGCGGTCTCTCACCAAGTGGTCTTGGGCCGAAAGAAGCTCTCGGTCTCATCAACGGAACGGCTCCATCTGTGTCTGTTGCAAGTCTGGTCCTCCACGATGCGCAACAGCTGGCTGTGCTTGCTCAGGTATTGACAGCATTTGCATCTGAGGCCATGGGTGGCAACGTTGAATGGACAACTCCTTTTATCCATAATGTACGACCACACCCTGGCCAGATTGAGGCTGCTGCCAACATAAGAAGCTTCCTGAAAGGTTCGGAATTCGTCGTCGGATTAAATGAGCGCAAGAGAACCGGTGATGGCCTTTGGCAAGATCGATATTCTACTCGCACGAGTCCCCAATGGATTGGTCCTTATCTAGAGGACTTACTTCTTGCCCAGAGACAGATCTCCGTGGAACTAAATTCGACATCTGACAACCCCTTAATTGATGCGTCAGAGAAGGATGGAAAAGTGGTTGGCGATGTGTATTCAGGAGGGAACTTCCAGGCTGTTGTTGTAACTTCAGCCATGGACAAGGCACGACTCGCTCTCCAGATGATTGGACGCATGCTCTTCTCTCAGGTCAGCGAGATGATCAACCCCTCGACTAACAATGGCCTTGAAGCCAATCTCAACATCAGCGACAAGGAGAATTTCACCATGAAGGGCATTGACGTGAACATGTCTGCATACATGTCCGAGTTAGCTGCCCTAGCTCACCCAGTCTCGTCTCACGTTATGACAGCGGAGATGAATAATCAGGGCATCAATTCACTTGCTCTGATTTCAGCTCGACGAACCATGGAGGCTGCCGATCTTGTTGCGCATATGTGTGCTTGTCACATTTACGTTTCATGCCAAGCAGTCGAGCTTCGAGCAAGCCACCGACTTTTCCTGGACACGCTTCATAAAAAGGTGCTATTGAACAAGACTGACAACGGACCATTCCATGCGTTTGGTCTGGAAGACACTGATGTCGAGACAATCGGTGAGGCTGTTTTCGCTGTCGTCGAGCGGGAGTGGTTTAACCACAATATCGGTTGCTGGAAGGATCGCATTATCCCGACCGTCGATGCTGCAATGGCACCCGTTACGCAATTCCTGACAGCTGAGAAGATCGATTGCCCGATATCAAGTCTTGCTGTATTCCGAGGCCAGTTCCACAAGGCGGTCGTGGATACTGCTTCTTCCATCTTCTATCCTAACATGGCGATACGCTATGTCGACGTGGCTACTAAACTTGGTGATGGAACTGCTCCGTTGTATACTTGGATTCGATCCAAGTTGGAAGTCCCGACACAATGTGGTCTCGATGATGATCCCCTATACAACGTACACAAAGGCCTTCCAGCCGAAGGCAAGAAGACTATTGGTAGCTGGGTGAGCAAGGTGTATGAGAGCATCAGGGGCAATATGATGGACGTTATCATGGAGGGCATCGAGATTGACCGTTCAGCACCCCGAACAATTGAGGAGTACGAGAAGCTCTGTCAGGATCTGAGACAAACCAAATAGGGGACCGAGTCCAAGCAAACTGGGGTCTAGAGGGCCATTCTGTACTCTGTACAATAGAGACTTTGCTCAGGAATGGCTGACTGAAAAGATGTAAAATAGCGGGCTCCGAAAGTTCCTTAGTTAGTTTAGACAAACAATCTCAGCTCAACGTTATTAACAAAAAGGAAAGAAAAGAGAGTGTGTGTCAGGGTACCTTTTCAGTGTTTGATTGATTGAGGAGTCATGATGAGGCTTACATGTAATGCACAGTGCTTAAAAAGCAACACTGTGCTGTCATAAGCAAACTTACATTAGGCGACAGTTTCACAACTGAGTTACTTACAGAGACGGCTGCGTACTTTGACTTTCAACACCAACACCTTTCAACATTCACTCACAAAGCCAAGGACTCTCCACTCTCAGAACAGCAAATTCTTCAAAATGTCTGACAACCCACCACCAGAATGGGTGCCCTCACCTTCTCTATCACCCTCCAACGCCTCACCTATGCCTCTCGCCGACAATGAAGGGACAGGCAGCGGCGCTGCATCTCCCAACTTACCACTTACCATGTCCGCCTCAGTGGTGCTGGCTGATCTGCCACGGGATGCGAGCGCCGCACTTGCAACTGCTGGAGCTTTCAAAGCGGACAAGGTTGTGGTGCGGTTTAAAGCCGTGGGGTCTGCTCCGTCGTTGGCTCAAGATGTGTGCAAGATTAGCGCAACGAGGCGCTTTGAAGAGGTCGTGAGATATCTCAGAAAGAAGTTAAGGTGTAAGGAGACAGACAGTGTCTTCTTGTACGTCAACAGTGCCTTTGCGCCGTCTTTGGACGAGGTCGTAGGCAACCTACATCAGGTGAGTCTTAACCTATCACAAGGCCTACGATGGATTCCCAGGTTGTAAAGTCACAGAAACTGACATATCTAGTGCTTTAAAAACGCCCACGGTCAACTTGTAGTGGCCTACTCACTGACGCCTGCTTTTGGATGATGCCAACAAGGCTAAATTCTTCTATCTGGATATAAAAAAGGCTATATATCACATCTACTCAACCCAAACTCCGAGCTATGCGACCTCTATGACTGCGCTACGACACACGAATTCGACAAGCTTGCCTCTCCAAAACCTCATGTAACTACTTCTGGGGTATCTTCATCTCGTCTCTAAGAATCCTTCACTGCCTTAGTAAAGCTCTCAAGCTCCTCCGCCGAAATGGGGTATGTGTGCTCAGGAGCAGGGTATTGGCGCGACTTGACTTCATCCCGATACGCCTCAATGGCTCTCAAGCTCTCACCCCAGACATCACCGTATTTCTTGACAAATTTGGGAAGGAACCGACCAGGAGGGAAATTTCCAATCATATCGACTTGTACCAGGACTTGGCCCGAGGTACCGTTGCCGGCGCCAATACCGATAGTGGGAACGGAGAGCTTTTCAGTAATGAGCGCGGCCACCTCAGCAGGAACTGCCTCAACAACCATGGCAAAACAACCAGCTTCCTGAAGGGCAAGAGCATCTTCAAGAATGCTCATTGCACCACTACTTGTCTTGCCCTGGACACGGAAGCCACCAAGTGCATTTTGTCGTTGAGGGGTCAAGCCAATGTGGCCAAGAACAGGAATGCCGGCGGCGGTAATCTTCTTGATAGTAGGGGCCATCTCCTTGCCACCTTCAAGCTTGACACCTTGGACACGGCCTTCCTTGATGAAACGGATAGCAGTAGCGAGAGCCTGGTCAGGACTAATCTCATATGTGCCCATGGGTAGATCGCCAACCTACTAGGATTAGTTTATTACTTGCATATGGAAAGACAGGGGTCTTACAGTGAAAGCCGACTTTGTCGCTCTCGCAACAGACCGACAATGTAGAAGCATCTCTTCCAAGATAACCTCACTCGTATCCTCCATACCAAGTGCTACCATGGCGAGACTGTCTCCCACAAGGATGATATCCATACCAGCATGGTCAGCGACATGACCACTGGGGAAGTCATGAGCTGTCATGACGGTGATGGGATCACCCTTGCGGTGCATGGAACGAAGAGTTCCGACAGTGACCTTCTTACGTTGAACGGCCGGAGGTGCACCCATGGGAGAGTGAGAGCTGTACCGGGTTTGCGCCGCACCTCCGATAATGAGGGGCCGAACGGCTCGGCCGAGGGTCCGGGATGCCGGCCGAGTGGATGGGACGGACATCCGGGATAGGAGAGAGGCACATGACCTCATTGTAGGATTGATAAGGGATGACATGAAGAAGGGCGGGAGATAGGGAGTGAAGGGAAATGCTAGTTAGTGGAGTGGGTTGATGTGAAGATAAGGTGTCGCGTGCTCTGTTAAGTTAAGTTGGAAGTGACAGAAACTTGAGGTACTGCAGGCAGATCTCAGACCGACAGAGACAGTAGCTCAAGAAGTCTATAGTGATCCTTTTTGAAAGGCGAAAAATTATGGAAGAAGTATCTTGACTAATGTTGTTTCGTTTATGATAGTTAGAGTTGCGATCTAGTCAGAAAGTCGGGGAAAGCAAAGGTTTTATTCTTGTCTGAACCATGATGAACCCTACGTTGTATATTTGAGTATCTTGGTGTTTTTTTCTCAGCACCCCTGGACCGGCCTGCGCCCCACGCAGTAACTTTTTGGGGTTCTCGAAGTGAAATTTAATTTAGGCTAGTCCTTTCAGGGCATGCGAATGGCCCGAATGACCGAAGATCCGTTGATGTTGAGCCGCCATTTCATTGATTACATCTACGGAGGAATCTGGGCTACTGGATTATACCCCAGATTTTACTGGACTACAATTCTTAACTCCAAATACTGAGGTCGTGGAAAGTTACAAAAAGTCATCGAATGTATTCGGAAGCCGAGGTTGTTACTGGCTATACCGAGATGGAGGTGTAGTGCGGGAAGTGTAACGGCTTTGGTTGAGGTTGGCTGGGTACTTGTACCGAGGATTTGGAAATGGATGGGAGGGGTCTCATGAAGTTGTGATGACAGTAGATCCGAATACGCATGCGAGAACCGAGGGACATGACATCCATAATAAGTAATAGCCCGGCAAGTCTCTGTATGTATGTGTGTATGTCTTGTCATGTATTGTTTTCCCCAAACGCAGCGAATTTGTGTAAAAGCCGTCTTATGGCTATTCCTGGGTTACCGCCGCGATAATGGTTCCGGCTGTCGCCACGAATATGCATCGAGATGTAGCTATGCATTTGCTGGTGCTAATCTACCATCGCCATCCGCTTTGTCATGATTATACTCACTTGAATAGGAACTAGGTGAAGCCAATCAACAATACCCAATGCTTTCGAACACAAGTATTATTAAAGGCCAGAGAAACTGACCGTCAAGCAGACAGAGGCTCAAGATCTGATAATTGCATACCAGAAACAAGCCCAAAGCTTGACTCAGAAGGTGTCCCCTTTATTGGAATTGAGGCCTCTAAAACCTGATTCAAAGAAAAAGGATGACTCAACTGAGTTGCCTCGTTTCAGTCTCGATTCGTTGTTTCATGCTGTGTCATGCTCTTGACGTGCTATGTCGATCTCCCCTTTACGGCATGCTTAGTGCCTTATCGATAACACTAACACCCCGAGGGAACAGCCGGCACCTGCCGTGTTGCGTTTGCAGCGGCTTATCACGCTCGTACACATCATATCCTCGTGACTTGGCACCCCAGTTGCGCTTGCTTGACTCAACTTCATCTTCACCTGCCTCCATCAATAGGTACTTTCTTTAGCTACTCCCAACCAACATCTTTTCAACTGCAGACTGTTTCACACACAAACTTCAGTTCCTTTGCCTCTTCTTAACGTCTCCCTCTCGAGTATCGCCTATCGCGCCGGCCCCGGAGCTCTTTGGATACCTTCATAACCCCACATTCGGAAACAACATCAACCGCCATCATGAGTAGCCCACGCCGCAGAATCGAGACTGATGTGAGTTCTACTGTCCTCCAAAACTGTGACGGAATGTGACTGACACCAATCTTTAACAAGGTCATGAAGTGCGTTGTCGTCTCTGCCATCTCGCTTGTTGTATTGCTAACATGATTACAGGATGTACGGGACTCAATAAAAGCTACCGTTTCTATGATGATACTGACACCCATAGGCTTATGAGTGACTACGAAGTTACACTTGTCAATGATAACAGTAAGACTTGAATTTTATCCCCACGTCGACTTTGCTAACGTGAAATAGTGTAAGCTTCCAATTCCAATTCCACTTTCACCGACTCCGATCTGTTTCCTGACCGATCATTTTAGGCAAGAGTTCTTTGTTCGCTTCAAAGGACCAGCTGAGAGTATGTTTACCGAAGCGCAACGTCCGAATAATCACTGACATTACGAAGCTCCATTTGAGGGCGGAATGTGGAAGGTTCATGTCGAGCTTCCCGACACTTACCCTTACAAGTCCCCTAGCATTGGCTTTGTTAATCGCATATTTCACCCTAATATCGACGAGCTGTACGAAGCATATACCTCCGTCTGATTTGAACTATGGCTAATGGTTCAGGTCCGGTTCGGTCTGTCTCGATGTTATCAACCAAACTTGGTCGCCCATGTTTGATATGATCAACATTTTCGAGGTTTTCCTTCCTCAACTCCTGCGATACCCCAACCCTACCGACCCCCTCAACGGCGAGGCAGCGGCGTTATTGATTCGAGAACCAAAGAGCTACGATGCCAAGGTCAAAGGTGCGTGTGCATGGGTCCTTGAGTAAGACATAATACTCATGACAGCAGAATACGTTCAGAAATATGCCTCCAAGGAAGCAGCAGACGAAGCCGGGGCCGAAAGCGAAGACGATGACGAACTCTCCTCAGTGGCCAGTTTCGGAGACGACGATGAAGAGCCTGCAGGACAGATGGACGATGTATAAGCCCGTCTACAAACACATTCACTTGGGCGAGCGTTTCGATTCACATATGGCGTCATGGGACCGAGGCACGGATTTAGGGCTATCATTGGACGGAGTTGCAGTAACCTCGCGCAGGCTTGGACTCGGATCGAATTTGTTTCTTGGCATTAGTTTGGAATGTTGCACACAAAGCTTCGCTTGTGCTCATCGGAGGGCTGTCGAACGAAATAGCCGCAACTGGATGTCATGATTGCTGGCGATGGGCCTGGACGTCAGGACCTCGAAGGCAGTTTGGACATGATGGTTGGCCTTTCGCTCTCTGCTATCGATGCACAGCAGAAGCACAGGACCTTGAATATTAAATCAAATAAATTGGGCTGAGCCCGGGTATCATATCTATAATTATCCTGAAGAGCCGCGCCTATAGTAAAATGCTTAATCGGAGTCGTAATCAACCAGGCCTGCTGGTGAAGCGGGCGCCTGCGCCTTGGATGGTGGCTCCAAATTCCGTGACTCTGCTTCTTGTGGTGATCTCTTCCGCTTCACACCTGGCAGTCTGGCCGGCCCTTTCGTTTCATGTCGCTTTTCGATCAGGAAAGGATCCTTGGAGGCCCGAGTGTTGTCCATAAGTTCCGACACCAGCGCATCTTTACGTTTTGAAGCTTCCTTGTCAGCCTTCAGCTTGCTTCCACCTCTGGGGTCTAATCGTTTCTTCTTGCTCCCTTCGGTTCGAAATAAGGGTTTCGACAGTGCTCGATCCCTGCCATCATCAACCACTGGTCCAAAGTCGACAAGAGCCGCACGGCGAGCATCCTCCTCTGTCCCAGGAACAATATCTATGCCAAGACTCATGCGATCTTGAAGAGCCCCTGTAGCAGCAGCATCGCGCTCTCGCTCTTTTCGCCCTGCTCTAAATGCCTTGCGTAGCTTCTGATTCTGCGTGTATGGATCGTCCCAGTGTTTCGCAGACGCCTCCATTAGATCGTCTATCCGTAGTGTCGCGCGCTTGAGCTGCTCCCTATCCTCAATCGTCTTTTCCAAACTCGAGAATGCATTCTTTCTCAACGCCTCCCTCTCCTGGTCCGTCATGATGACCGCATCTCCTTCGCGCTGCACATCCTCCCCGGTATCTCTCTTGGCACCACCCTCCGTAACGACATACGCCGTGTTCTTGGGATCCGTGCGAATCTCAATCTCGCCTCCGCAATCCGCATGACCAAACTTGAAACTCCAGATCGGCGTTGAGAAGTAGCTCCCCACGCGGCGCTTCGCGGCGTTGAAGCGAACGCCCTGGCCGATTATCGTGGGCTTGGGACAGGAGTTGCACCAGATGGCGAAGGGAAGCTCGAAGCGCACGGTGAGGGAGCCGGGTTTTGAGGCGCGTGCGCCGAGGGGGTGTTTGTTGTGAAGACGGTTGCCGGATGTGGTGCCTTCTACGTCTGGCGGGACGTAGCGGCCCATGTTGAAGCCCTGCATTTTGGCGGTGGTTTTTTGAGGCTCGTGGCCTTTGGTTGGTGGAGGGAGCAAGATTTGGTGTTGAAAGAGATGGATGGTTGATGGAGGGGCGATGTTCGTTATAGTGAGTGGTAGGTACGTCACCTTTCAGTGGGGGTTGTGTTTTGGTGTAAGCCGACTGGCCTCACGTATTACTTGTTTGTGCCAAAAGTCTACCTTGGATTAAAATTAAAGAAAGAAAACACTATTAGTGAGATTACTGAAAGGCTGTGCAAAAATAGAGATACATTGTCGAAGCCTTGAGTATGGCTCAAACGTTGTCCAAGTGTAAGATAAGTGTGAATCTTGTTGATGGATAGCACTCATACAATCTTCTAATACCTGTCAGGGAGTACGATAACTTACAGAATGCCACAAGAACATATTTATGGATATGACTCCTTAAGAATGTTAGGTTCGGTCGAATGTTAAGCAACAGTCATAATGAAATCATCATATTCCAGCATGTTCCTATGAACCATATGGGATCATCTGCTCGCCATTTCTGTTTTACAATGAAGCCAGCCAAGATATCTAAATATCTTAGCCTTTCCTTCTCTTGTATTGTATAAAGACTAGGTAACTCGCAAGATCATCACTTCTTGTCCATCTCAAGCTTGCCAATAACAGGCTCCAAGAGTATAGGCAGATACTCTGCAGCATCCTTGCCAAATGCAAAATCACCAGGCTTGACCTTGTACATCTCGTCCTCATTCTCGGCCTCGGGGTTAATAACCGCAATGCGTGCGCCTTTACGTTTGGCTTTATCGATATAGCCTGCAGCAGGGTAAACTTGAGCCGAAGTGCCAATGACAAGCATCAAGTCCTATATACAATTAGTCAACTTTCTACAAATTGCTCAATGTCGAGTTTGACTCACTACTTTGTCTTTGAGAAGCCAGTTCGTGATACCCATCATCATAACCTCGTCCAGGTTCTCACCAAACCACACAACACCCGGTCTTTGGAAACCCGTCTTGCACTGAGGACACTTGGGGATGTCATCTGGTGAGATTGGGTCCAGAGGCTGCGAGGCGTCGAGGAGAGGAAATGGTTTGCCTGGCTCTACATCGACTGAAGCTGGCGCGAGGGCGGGACAGAATGGATCATCATAGTTGCCTCGTTGAATCCAATCGCAGTTGGTGCACTTGATATCGAAGAGAGAGCCATGTAAAGTGCGAAGTTGATCCTGTGGATGGCCCGCCTGTTGAGAGAGATCTGAGGATGTTAGTAACTAAGATATAACACAAAAGGGAGATACACACTGTCGACGTTTTGCGTCAAACACAAAAAGTCCTTGTTCTTGTCAGCCAGCGCCGCAAGAGCATAATGCGCTGGATTCGGCTCCGCGCGCAAGCACATATGACGTCTATAATTATAGAACAGCCACACAAGACCCGGATCATTCTTGAAAGCACTCATAGTAGCTAAAGACGTAGCATCGTGATTGCGCCAAAGGCCGCCAGCGCCTCGGAAAGTAGGCAGGCCAGATGATGCTGAGAGACCAGCTCCGCAGAGGGCGAGGATGCGCTTGCTCGAGCGGAGAGCTTCGTGAAAGGCGGCCACGTCGTTGTGAGGAGCCATTGCTGTGAAGAAGCGGAAATTAGAAGTTGAGGTTTTTGAAGAGAATATGGAAGAGAGATGTGGTGTTGGTCTGAGAAGTCTCATGATATGGTGGTTGTGGATAAGCTTAAATGCTGGAGGGGAGTGAGTATGAGTATGGTCTGCAAGGATTATCTGAGGTTGTGTCACTCGTCGAGAGATGTGATTGGATCGTGGAGTAGGCAGCGAAGATGAATTCTGCCTGTAGCTCAACTCAACCTTGCTCCAAGATATATTCTTGCAGTTAAATCTCGAATGGTCGTTGATGTTGCCTATCATGAGATGTGCTGATTGGCTCCATCGACTTTAGGTTGCTAACATTGCAAGCATCATGTCTCAACCAAGATAGTCTACACTGCAATTGATTCCGTACCCTAGGTTTGAACGACGATAGTTAATATAAACAAATGGCATATGAGTTGAGTTCGCTTGAATTAGTTTTATGATCACTTGGACCAAATATTGCCAGTTCTTCTTCTACTTATACACGACCAGCCGAGGCTGATCCATGCTCGCGAGGATCACTCAAGAGTTAGGGCGATCACTAGATAACACTATGGCCTTCAATTCTCAAATATTTATATACCATTCAGTCTCAACATAGTTATTACCCATGTTCTACTCATTCCTGATCTCCTTTCGCGTCCGTCTCTAGCTTAGCCTGTGTCAGGAGGAGTAAGTCGGAAGCCGTCAATAGAACATTGATACGGAGAGGCAGCGGCACTACAAGTTCTCTCTCCAGATGGGAAGAACTTGAAGTCCATAGACCAATAAAGACCTTACAACGGATAGCTTAGTACCGAATCGCATGACAGAAGAGTGAGGTAGGTATGTCATAGGCTGTTAGTGGTTTCAGTTTCAGTCTATTCTAAAGTTATCTCAACTGAAGCACATTCAAGTCAGAAACTACGGGCTAGCCAACAAAACTCCCAAGAGCGTATAATAAGCGACTAACAAGGAGGCATTCGCTTCCATTTTATCGCATTTATTTAAGCATGGCCTGCTAGAGAGTCGAAGCGAGAATCCCTCAACCCAAAGCAGAAACATCCGAACATGGGATCGCGGATGGAAATGAGCCCACCCACTCTAAAACCAGACATTATAGCGCGATTCCAGTGGAATCAGGCCTACAATTCGTTGTTGATCCCTAATTCCCGGCATCTCAGGGCCGAGTCGGCCGCTGTTTTACTTGGCGATGGGACCGTGCTGGTGATTAACGCCGGGAATAGGTCACTAGCCTTGTAGGGCCAGAGCCTGAGGTGCAGTTTAAAAGGGATGTCCCACCCCTTTGAACAGAAAGGAAGAGAAGAGAAGAGAGGGATAGTAGAAGTATTCATTCGTTAATCACAGTCACTCGTTAAGACTCAACTACCCGATAATTTATTCAATTCTATACACTCGTTAATCATGGCCACCAAGTTCCTCGCTGTGGCTCTCATGGCCGCTGCCCCAGCCCTGGCTAAGACCGATCTTGCAGGATGCACCAGCTACGACACGGTTCTCAGCAACGCCAATGGAATGTATGCGTCTCGAATTTGGTACGTCCCTGATACGGGCGAGCTGTGCGACTTTCTCGACTGTGGCGGTGGCCGAGCTCCCCCCAAGACCACTGTCCCCGGATGCCCTGGCTACGTCGGCACCGCGACCTACTCTCCTCTCTTCATCAACCCCAAGACTCTCGGCGGTGCTGTTCCTGAAGAGACTGGTGATTCTCCCACGAGCACTGAGGAGGATGTGAGCGAGTCTGCTACTATTACTGCTGCACCTACTACCGAGACTGAGGAGAGTGCTTCGACCACCGAGGCTGAGACCGAGACCGAGACTGAGTCTGAGACTGAGACTGAGAGCAAGGATGATGACAAGACTTCGACCGATAAGGACAAGGACACAAAGACCATCACCACTCTTGCTACTCACGCAACGCC